CGTTGCCACCATCCACTGGACTGATAGTCGCGATCGACCGGTCGGCCACCCCTGCCTTGTACTTAGTACCAGAGTTGTTTTGTTTTTTTTTTTTTTGTTTATATTGACAAATAATTGCAATATTGCCACACTACAGTGAGCTAAAGTTACGAAATATTGTTAAGTTCCATCAAAATAGACTGTTAGTTAACGATTGTCCCTAAATCTTTGACCTAGGGGTTATCACATCTTGGAATGCCGACGCGTTGCCTGCGGAGTCTGTATCAGAAAAGTGATACTCTGCTAGCATTTACTTACCAGAAAGAAACTGTACATGAGAGAAAGTTTACATAAATAAATAGTTCCATCAAATTAGACTGTTATTTATTTATTTATTTACACTCTATTGCACCAAGTAAAAAGAGAAATAACAAATATAGTAAATATTAATGAGAAGTGATACAAAAGGCAGCCTTATCGCTGAGCAATCTCTTCCAGACAACCTTTGGGTAGAGGACATTGAGAAAAAGACAAAGGGTAGGTTAGTTAGTTAATGATTGCCCCTAAATCTTTGACCTATTATAGGTCAAAGATTTAGGGGCAATCACAAGTTTTAAAATTAAAAAAAGATGCTAATTTTTTAACATATTTTCCCAACTCGTAATATATGAAACCGAAACATTTTGCTCTATCAATTCATGTGTATATGGCGGTGCACGTCCACAACTCAGACGGAATTGAACCCCGGACCCGGCGGCCGCGTGCCGAATGTAAATGTACCTTGAGTTGATAAATAAAGAAAGAGGTTAACTGAGGTGCGCCGTGAAAACATCGTTCCCGTTAGGGTTGTCACTTGTACACAAAATTTATATTAAATATTCTTATTTTTTTTTTATTTTATTTAATTTAATGTTAATATATTTCTATCGTGAAGCAGTTGTGTTTGCATGGCTGCGTTTCGGTTTGAAGGGTGGGATATGGCAGTTAATTTACAGGGTACAGAGGAATAACACCTGAGTCCTCAGGAATGGCAACGCATGGGGGGTATCATTGGCGAAACATTATAGTATTATGTACATGGTATTGCTCATGTCTATAGGCGACGGTTACCACTTTCCATCAGATGAGCCGTCACCTTGTTTGCCATTCTAAGTTGTATAAAAAAAATTGAACCGCACTATATTTTATTTTCACGAGATACAGTTGTGGCCAATTTGGGGACTGATGGTAAATGCGGATATTATGATCGTTGAATATAAATTGTAAAGATTGTAAATTGTAACTTATGCAACTGTATCTTTCTTGAATAAAAAAATACTATTATTATTATTAATTGTTTTTGTTTTTAATCTATGCGTTAGGGGCGCGCGGGGGGGGGGGGAGGAGATGGGGTTTAATTACAACTAAAAGACGCCGTGGTTAATACCAGAATTAATATAAGACGAGTCAACACTCCACTACTTTCACTACTTCATCCCGTAGTGTAATCAGTAAAGCGTATGAACTTACAATTGTTTTTATACAACTTCGAATGGCAACAAGCTGTCGGCCCACCTGATGGAAAATGGTAACCGTCGCCTATAGACATGAGCAGTATCATGGACATAACAGAGTATACTGTTTCGCCCATGATACTCCCCAAGCGTTGCCATTCCTGAGGACTTAGATGTTATTCCTCTGTACCCAGTAAATTCACGCCATATCCCAGCATTCAAACCGAAACACAGCCATGCAAACACAACTGCTTCACGGTTGAAACAAGAATGGGACAGAGGTACCTAAGCAATCGACTTTTGTACAAAGGTCTCCCTCTGGTAAATCTAATCTATTTTCATTTCTAAAAAAAAAATATTCATGTCGTGCTCGGTGTGGCAACCCTAGCGGCTAATATGTGAGTGACAGACGGCCATAAATTACACACGTCACACGATCCACGCAGAGTTGAGGGGTTGAGATATGAAGGGTGGTTCTCGGTTTGATTCCTGTTTTGGTAATGAAAGGATATATACCAGAGGGAGACTTTGTACAAAATTCGTTTGCTTGGGTACCACTGTCCCATTTGTGTTTCAACCGTGAAGCAGTTGTGTTTGCATGGCTGTGTTTCGGTTTGAAGGGGTGAGATATGGCGTGAATTTACTGGGTACAGAGGAATAACATCGAGTCCTCAGGAATGGCAACGCATGGGGGTATCATGGGCGAAACAGTATACTCTGTTATGTCCACGGTACTGCTCATGTCTATAGGCGACGGTTACCACTTTCCATCAGGTGAGCCGTCAGCTTGTTTGCCATTCTAAGTTGTATAAAAAAAAGAAAAGTTTTTAAATTAAAATAACAGATTTTGTTACAATTGTAGTATTTTTTTATAGTTTTTATTTTAAATTGTTGTGTTTGACCTGTATTATGTATGCTTCTGTAAAGGATTTGAATTAATTAGATACAATGCAAATACTTAAGGATATACGTACCTTGAACATTGCACCTTGAACAGTAAGGGAACTCTTCAAGGATTGGTAGTTTTTTTTTAATGGGTGAAAATGGATTGGTAACCCCGCCCGCGCTATCGGTATACACCGACGAGGCACCAGTGGAAGATGATAGGTGAGAATGAATGCAGGTTATTTGATTCCACCATTTACGCCATCTAGCGTCAATATCTCAATATTTAATTATAATATAATAGAACAATAGAAGTGCATTTATTTCAGAATATTATGAACTTATCTTTGAATTTTATTTATTTCTTTATATGTTTTTACAATAAACATATTTCTATTATCATAATAAAGTACGGTACCACAAGTTTAATGTGTGTACGACACGCACTTACCCACTTTTAAATACCCAACAATCCCACAAAAACCATTTAAAACGTTAGCCATCCCGCGAAATCGCCATCGAAATGAGGCGTTTTTACGAGATGTTATTATTGTGTAATAATATACCAAATACGTCATACGTGAGATAGCAATAAAAAAAAATGTCTAAAGTATCACTCAGCGATATTGCGTGTACATATCCCGTTATGGGGGTGGGCAGCAATAAAAATATATTTGATCCGCACATCTCGAAAATAATTGCTCGGTACCACCGCTAGTGGGCTCGAGGGACTTTTGGATGGAGGTGCGCTTATGTATTGCTACTCTTGACTTTATTTTCTGAACCAATTTTTTCGTTTGATCTTAATGTACATATGTACATACTAGCGATCCGCCCCGGCTTCACGTGGATAAATAGAAAGATAAATTAGGATTTCTTATTAGCTTTAATTTGACAATTTTTTGATACCTCGAAGATACATTATTGTAATTTTCGTAGATATATTTAAAGTTTTTTTTAAATGTGAATTTTAACACCTGAGTCCTCAAGAATGGCAACGCATGGGGTGTATCATGGGCGAAACAGTATACTCTGTTATGTCCATGGTACTGCTCATGTCTATAGGCGACGGTTACCACTTTCCATCAGGTGGGCCGTCAGCTTGTTTGCCATTCTAAGTTGTATAAAAAAATGTTCTATCTCAGGAATGGCAACACAATAGGGGTATCATGGACCACGTAATATACTCTGTTATGTCCTCAGTACTGATCATGTCTATAGACGACGGTTACCACTTTCCATCAGGTGACGGCCCACCTGATGTTTGCCATTGTAAGTTGTATAAAAACTTCTAATATTATTTTAAATAATATACAACAGTACTAGTGATATTTACATAACCATATAATGTTACTCGCTGATAGTTCGTTGGTTTATAAATGTCCCCGGTTATTCACATTGATGAAGCGAACTCAGTTTAGAAGAAAGAAAGAAAGAAAGAAACTTTATTTTACAGAAATATCCGACTTCACCGACACATGGGGTTAAAAAAAACATATTAAAAATTATTTCTGAGGTTTCAACAAATCCTCTCTTTCATTAAAACCATATTATTTCAAGAATGACAAATAAACAAAAAAAAAACATCAAGAAGAAATGTCATAAAAATATGGGAAAGAGTGTTAAAAGGTAAAAACAAAATATGTACATTTTTTATTCAATTCTAATCTTATTTTAAATAGAAAAGTATTTAATTGTATATTTGTTTAATTTACAAATTGCTTTGTTACATTAATGTACCGCCATTTGCTCTCTCTCTGTTTAGCGTAACGGTTTTTTTTTATGGGTGAAAATGGTATGATAAACCTGCCTGCGCTAACGGGATACGCTGGCGGAGCACCAGTGAAGGGTGATAGATGAGAATGAAAACAGGCCAGTTAGCGCATCACGATGAATTCATCAGGAATTAACCATGATAGTTTCCAGGGGGAACAGCGAGAAGGTCGACCTTTTTGGGTATATTGTTAGCAATGGGATTCTTAGTCTTCATTACTAACAATCCCTTCCCTCCCTAGCGTAACGGTTGACTGGTAGAGAATGCCATCAGGCATTAAGTCCGCCCTGTAGACATATTTTAATGTGTCCAAAAATATAAATAAATTAATTAATCACTAAGGACTATAACTTCATACTGTAGGAGACAGTTAAACGGGTTTAAAAGGAGGAAAGTCCCATTTGATCCGCATTTGTTCTTTGTGTATATAGACAAGGAAATATCATGATTAATACCTGGTGAATTCACGATAGGCTAAAGGCCAGCTTTAATTTTCACCTATCATCCCTCACTGGCGCCCCGCCAGCGTATACCGATAGCGCAGGTGGGGTTACCATCCATTTTCTTCTTTAAAAAAAAAACATAAAACTATATTTATATATTATTTTTTATCATTTTATATGTTTTTATTTTATACAACTTAGAATGGCAAACAAGCTGACGGCCCACCTGATGGAAAGTGGTAACTGTCGCCTATAGACTACACTGTTTCACTCATGATACCCCCCATGCGTGGCCATTCCTGAGGGCTCAGGTGTTATTCCTCTGTACCCTGTAAATTCACGCCATATCCCACATTTCAAACCGAAACACAGCTATGCAAACACAACTGCTTCGCTTCATATAATTTTTTTATTACCATTTTTCAGTCATGGCAAGAAATCGGATAAAGAAACACAATCACCCGTACTGAAGATCTTCAAAGATATGATGCAGAGAGAGAAGTATATTTTGTATATACGTAACTAGCTATTTGTCTTCCACTTTCATTCGTGGATTTTTTTTATACAACTTAGAATGGCAAACAAGCTGACGGTCCACCTGATGGAAAGCGATTACCGTCGCCTATAGACATAAGCAGTAGCATAGACATAACAGAGTATACTGTTTCGCACATGATACCCCCCATGCGTTGCCATTCCTGAGGACTCAGGTGTTGTTCCTCTGTACCCAGTGAACTCACGCCATATCCCACCCTTCAAACTGAAACACAGCCATGCAAACACAACTGCTTCACGGTTGAAACACGAATAGGACAGAGGTACCAAAGCAATCGACTTTTTTACAAATATATGTATATAAAAAAATATCATATTAATAAGAATGTTAATAAATATATAAATAAATTTTATTTTTACAGAGACCCAGAGAAAGCCAATTTACTAAAGGAGAAACATGAGAATAGAAAGAAAAAGTCCTCTGGATCTAGAACAAAGTCGAACGCTACCGTTAGTTGAATATTTTCTTGAATTAATTAATACTTTATTTGCATTATACAATATAGGAAATAAGCAAGACAATTAATAAATGCAACGATGCAGTTGTATATTGCATGGAAAAACATAGTATGTACCAGAGGGAGACTTTGTACAAAAGTCGATTGCTTGGCCACCTCTGTTCCATTCGTGTTTCTACCGTGAAGCAGTTGTGTTTTTATGGCTGTGTTTCGGTTTGAAGGGTGGGGATATGGCGTGAATTTACTGGGTACAGAGGAATAACACCTGAGTCCTCAGGAATGGTAACGCATGGGGATATCATGGGCGAAACAGTATACTCTGTTATGTCCATGGTACTGCTCATGTCTATAGGCGGTTACCACTTTCCATCAGGTGGGCCGTCAGCTTATTTGCCATTCTAAGTTGCATAAAAAAAAAACTATTTCAGACAATAATTGGGAAAACAGAAATGCAAGTAATTAGATTACTAAAAATCCCCCCTTCCATAAAGGATTAGTGTAGGATTAATTTAATCTAAATCAAAAATTACTAAGTACTTAATAATTAATCATATTTGTTATGTATTATTCAATTACGTGCAAAGATATCTTACATATACGTAAATATAACAATAATGCAATAAAAAATTTACTACTTACTATTGTTTATAGTACATTACTGCAGCGGCCAGCAACTGAGGCATTGATGGACGAACGTACAAATGTGGGCCGAGGTGTAACCGAGGCACACATACGTGAGTCCATCAATGCCTAGTTGTGGCCAAGGCTTGTATAGTACTTTTCTCAAACAATGCGCGGACATCAAAAACACAATTTTACTTTTTAAATTCAATGACGAATAACGAACAATAATAATTTTTCACGCGCCATAATGTTCCCTTGTTTTTTTTTCAAAAAACTGCTTTCTATTTGCAAGCCAGTTCGAAATTTAAATAAAACCTTTTATTAGTTACCTCCTTGGTAGCCATGTTTTGAAGTAAAAGGTCATTCCATTTTTAAATTACAGGACAGATATGAGTTTACATAGTAATTTATCTGGCCGCAAAACACGACAGATATGGATTTTCATACAACTTTTGTCGGCCGCTGCCCGCATGTATCTGGCCAGTACGGCAATTTTGATTTATCTCTAAGAAGATTGTCTAAATAATGCTCACATTTCCAAGCATGTTTGAGAAAAAATAATTAATTTTATTAATCAAAAGATTTTATTGTATAAAAGGCATACATTAAATTCGCTTTTTGTACCATATTTCCCATTGTCACGGAATGGGTAGTTTTAGGAAGCATGTAGGTACCTAGAGAAATCTATATTATTAGCTTCAGGTATATAAAACTGCGACATATGCTGAGTCAGGTGCTTTGTACAAACACTGCTACATACATTTTGTTATTTTTTTTTATGTTTTTCTTTTTATTCTAATTTCATATTGAAACAGTAATGTTATTATATAATTGTGTAATCTTTATTATTATGTTGTTATGTCATTTTTAACTATTGTATAATTCATATAATTTTTCTTAAAGAGCGATTGTATTTAATTAATGATATTATTTAAATGAAAAGTTTGTTTAGTGTATGTGTTAATAAAATAAATAAATATATTTTTTTTTATACAACTTAGAATGACAAACAAGCTGACGGCCCACCTGATGGAAAGTGGTAACCGTCGCCTATACACATGAGCAGTACCATGCACATAACAGAGTATACTGTTTCGCCCATGATACCCCCCGTGCGTTGCCATTCCTGAGGACTCAGGTGTTATTCCTCTGTACCCTGTAAATACACGCCATATCCTACCCTTCAAACCGAAACACAGCCATGCAAACACAACTGCTTCACGGTTGAAACACGAATAGGACAGAGGTACCCAAGCAATCGACTTTGGAAAAAAGTCTCCCTCTGGTAAATAAATATTATGATTAGATATGTCCCATCAGTATCAGGATAGTCCTTGCTCTATCCTAACAATGTAATGTAGTACCGCGTTCGTGATTTACTGTTCATCACAAAGATTCACTGGTAGGGAATGCTACAAGCATCAATTCCGTCTTTTGTACCTTGTTTTGTTTTCATTAATAAAGTTATTTAAATAAATAAATTACAGAAGTCTTGCGACTCGAGCAGTTCACACAACAATAATAAGAAATATAAACGCAATGACCATTACAATGTGGCTATGCACGAACCCCGCGACACGCGGTATACTCAGCCTGGGAAGCACAGTATTGTGAGTATGCATGATATTTTATTTACGTTAAAATATAACGTTATAAGTGTTAAACAAAGTGTTGGAGAGGGCTATGCTCGGCGTCTCTTTGCGTGATAGAATCCGAAACGAGGATATCCGCAAAAGAACCGACGTAACCGACATAGTTCGAAAGATAAGCAACCTGAAGTGGCAATGGGATGGTCACATAGCTCGAAGAACCGACAACCGATGGGGAAGAAAGGTTCTTGAGTGGCGACCGCGTACGCAAACGCAATGTAGGACGACCCCCCCCCCCCACTAGATGGAGTGACGACCTGAAATGCATTGCAGGGAGTCAGTGGATGCAGGTGGCTCAGGACCGTTCTTTATGGCAGTCTATGGGGGAGGCTTATGTCCAGCAGTGGACGGATAATTGCTGAGATGATGATGATGATGATGATGAAAGTTTAGACTAATTTCAAATATCAAAATCATTTATTTCCTTAAAAAAAATGTATAAGAAGAACAAATATTACTAATATAATAGAATTGTAACTGAATGGTATGTTTTTTTTTATACAACTTAGAATGGCAAACTGACGGCCCACCTGATGGAAAGTGATAACTGTCGCCTATAGACATGAGCAGTACCATGGACATAACATAGTATACTGTTTCGTCCACGATACACCTCATGCGTTGCCATTCGTGAGGACTCAGTTGTTATTCCTCTGTACCCAGTAAATTCACTGCCATATCGCACCCTTCAAACCGAAACACAGCCATGCAAACACAACTGCGTCACGGTAGAAACACGAATGGAACAGAGGTGCCCAAGTAAACGACTTTTGTACAAAGTCTCCCTCTGGTATGTGTGCATGGGAGATATTTAAGAAAAATTTATATAAACAGTATTAATAAAAACAATGGAAACTGTTCAAAATAATTTGTATTGTCTGGCTATATATTCCGGCGTTGCGTACAAAATATTACATCGAATTAGATGCGGTTTTTGTTTAATGAGTGATATAGAATTGTAACCCCACCCATGCTATCGGTATACACCGATGAAGCAGGTCAGTTAGCCCATCGTGACGAATTCAACAAGAATTGTTCACGATAGTTTCCAGGGGAACCACTTGGAGGTCGATCTAATAGGGCATATTGCTAGCAATGGGGCTGTCAAACTCCATTGCTAACAATCTCTTCCCCCCAATTAGATGCGGTTTTACTCCTGAAGGTCTGTCTTAAAATCTGGTGCATGTTTCACCTCGACACGCTATCTAGAAGAAGTCTATAACATTGGTCTTCATATTTCTGTGATCCATGCGTACGACGTAGGGGGCGAAAGGAACTAGTATTAAAATCAAGTTGTGTATTTGTTTGTTGCAGAGTGACAGAAAGGACAGCTGGTGTTGGGTAATATATATATATATATATACATATATGTATTTTTCACGCAATTTAGAATGACAAACAAACTGACGGTCCACCTGATGGAAAGTGGTAACCGTCGCCTATAGACATGTGCAGTACCATGGATATAACAGAGTATACTGTTTCGCCCATGATATCCCCCATGCGTTGCCATTTCTGAGGACTCAGGTGTTATTCCTCTGTACCCAGTAATTTCACGCAATATCTCACCCTTCAAACCGAAACACAGTTATGCAAACACAACTGCTTCACGGTTGAAACACGAATGGGACAGAGGTGGCCAAGCAATCGACTTTTGTACAAAGTCTCTCTCTGGTATAAACTTAAAAACCACTATTACTTCAAGATCAGCAAATCACCCCCAAGCCTCTACACAACGCCCCCATTTTTTTTCTGGGTCTCTTACAGCCCCTCTTTAGGCCTGCAGCGCCCAAAAGGGGGCGTTATCGCCCATTTTGGAAAAAAACTGCTTTAGATTATAAGGCGAACATTTGTACGTCACAATAAATCAATATCTGTAAAAACAATGTTCTGGCAAATAAATCTATCTATCTATCTATTTCAATATAAAAGTCTCTGCAAGGATTTGCTTACAGATTGCTCCTATTATAGTTTTTTTTTCAAATTCGTTACTGTAGTTTAGTTTTTAAATCAAAAAGACTGTTTTTACCACGATTGAAGAATTTTTTTTATGTGGGACACAATTTAAACAATGTGGATCAGAATTGAATTATGAATTGCCTTTTTTTCTGCTTAAGCGGACTGATACCGAAGTGCCAAAACCAAAATCGGATGATACATGCTCCTGGGTGTCTTGTGCGTAAGTTGTTTTATAAATTTTTACTACATCGTTTTGTTTATGCAACTTAGAATGGCAAGCAAGCTGACAGCCCACCTGATGAAAAGTGGTAACCGTTGCCTATAGACATGAGCAGTACCGTGGACAGTATAGGATAAAGTGTGTACCCAAGACGTTCTTCATGCATTGCCATACCCGAGGACTTTGGTTTGTTTAATGGATTTTTTTTTTTGATGGGTGAAAATGGTAAGGTAATCCCGCCTACGCTAACGGGATACGCTGGCGGAGCACCAGTGAAGGGTGATAGATGAGAATGAAAACAGGCCAGTAAGCCCATCATGATGAATTCATCAGGAATTAACCATGATAGTTTCCAGGGGGAACCGCGAGGAGGTCGGCCTGGTTGGGTATATTGCTAACAATGGGATTCTCAGTCTTAATTACTAACAATTCCTTTCACACCTTTTTTAATGGGTTAAAATGGAATGTTAATCCTGTTATCGGTATATACTAGCGAGGTACCAGTAAGGGATGATAGGTAAGAATGAATAGCAAGGTTTAACTGATCCGCCTATCGTGATGTACATCTGGAATTCAGCAAGATGGTTTCGAGAAGGAACCGCAGAGAAGTCGACCTAACAAACCGTTTAAACAACAAAACCGCATTAATAACAAACCCTTCCCTTATCTTCCCCCAAATTTTATGTGATGCCATGGATAAAACATACTCTGTTACGTCCACGGTACTGCTCATGTCTAAAAGCGATAGTTACCACTACCCATCAGGTGGGCCGTCAGCTCGGCATTCTAAATATGAAAGTCGGTTGTAAATTTCTTCCTTTGTCTAGATTGAAACAAATAGTCAGCTCAGAGTACACCTGCATCGCATGTCTAGCGCTAATGTTCACGCTAACAGTTGTGGCCGCGTTCTACTTCGTGTTCCGGACTGTACCCACAGTTAATAATGAAGTGAATTTGGAAAGTACAGCACCGGAATTCAACAGTGTAGGCCTGAGACGGAAGATAGAGATGCTGAATGAGAGAAAAGGACAAGGAATTAACGAGTTTGCTGGATACAGAGGCAGTTTCGATGATAGGTAAGCATTTTATTGAAGAATGTGACATGTCACTGGTTATTTGATTGGTATTATTTTGGTAATTGGTATCAATTCGGTGTGCTCAATAGAGCGAAGCATTGCTTCACGCCGGATCAGCGATTAATGCTGTACAAATCACAAATCCGGCCCCATATGGAGTACTGCCGTCACTTATGGGCGGGAGCACCTAGATACCAACTTGAACCCTTCGACTCGGTCAACGACGAGCTATGAGAATTGTCGATAATCCCAGGCTTGCAAGCGGTATCGAACCCTTAATTCTTAGGAGAGACTTTGTCTCACTATGCGTGTTCTACCGCTTGTATAACTTCCACGAACACTCAGGTTATGGAATGAGCTCCCTGCCGAGGTTTTCCCAAGAGACTACAGCATGAGGTTCTTCAAAAGGGGGGTAAAGAGGTTTCTTTAAGGTCGGCAACATGCGTAATACCCCTGGTATTGCAGGTGTTCACAGGGTACGGTAACCGCGTACCATCAGGCGGGCCGTATGCTTGATTGTTTAATTTGCTACCATTAGTATATGTTCGACTGCCAACACTCGAAGAGTGACCAGCACTATTACTAGCAGAAGTTCCACGACCTTCCATATCAGCCATCAATAGATTTAATTATAGATATATATTAATGATTAAATAAATATCTTCGATGTACAGACATATTTTATGGATGAGAACGGAATGGTAACCTGGTCCAGACTAACGGTACACACTGGCGGGGCACCAGTGAGGGTTGACAGGTGAGAATAAAAGGCAGGTCCGATAACCAATCGTGACGAATTTTACAAGAATTAACCACGATGGTTTCCAGAGGAAACCATGTGAAGGTCGACCTAATAGAGTTTTTTTTATACAACTTAGAATGGCAAACAAGCTGACAGCCCACCTGATGGAAAGTGGTAACCGTCGCCTATAGACATGAGCAGTACCGTGGACATAACAGAGTATACTGTTTCGCCCATGATACCCCCCATGCGTTGCCATTCCTGAGGACTCAGGTGTTATTCCTCTGTACCCTGTAAATTCACGCCATATCCCACCCTTCATACCGAAACACAGCCATGCAAACACAACTGCTTCACGGTAGAAACACAATATTGTTAGCAATGGGGCCGTTAGACTCCATCATTAACAATCCCTTCTTCCCCATTTTTTTTTTTTTATTGTAGTAAGATAATGTTTGGAGTATATCCACTTATTTTTCAGAAAAGATTTGGACGACACAGTATCCAGGCAACTGAGGGGTCTACCCGGTATTTCCGGACCAGGTATTGTAGTAAAATTAATAATTTCTCTAATACTAATACATATATATACGACGGCGGACCAGTATAAAACGTAGCGGGATGCCGTGCATATTATTACGGTGAATAGGCCGTTTCATTCTTCATCATCATATCATATTAGCTGTTTACTAATCACTGCTATGCAAAAGCCTTTCCCATAAGGTTTTGTCAGTAGTTGTCACGCTTAGCAGGCGGGTTGGCAACTGCTATTTTTTGTTTTTAATAAATGATAATGGAATGGTAACTCCGTCTACGTTATCGGTATACACTGGTGGAGCACTAGTTGAGGGATGATAGGTGAGGATGAAGCAGGTCAGTTAGCCCATTGTGACGAACAATAAATCAATTACGATGGTTTCCAGAGGGAACCACGAGGAGGTCGACCTGATATAGTATATTGCTAGCAATGGGGCTACTAATCCCCATTACTAACAATTCCTTCTCCTCCCTGGCAACTGCTTGAGTGGCCCGTTCTATGCCGGGACCACACTGTCAAAATACTTGGATTTAATTAAATTTTTTATTGTGAAAGGATGAAAATAATGAATTGTTTTTTTAATTAAATATTCGACCTGTTTAGAAATTAGAATTGTCTCTCCCATTCGTGTTTCTACCGTGAAGCAGTTGTGTTTGCATGGCTGTGTTTCGGTTTGAAGGTGGGATATGGCGTGAATTTACAGGGCACAGAGGAATAACACCTGAGTCCTCAGGAATGGCAACGCGTGGTGGGTATCATGTGCGAAACAGTATACTCTGTTATGTCCACGGTACTGCTCATGTCTATAGGCGATGGTTATCACTTACAGGGGGCGGTCAGCTTGTTTGCCATTCTAAATTGTATAAAAAAATAAATAAATACTATTTGACTTTAGAAGAGAGAAAGTGTTGGGACACTAAATACGACACGACGAACTTATTTATGAACATTACTAGCTTACAGACCCGGCTTCGCCCGAGTAGACGAAATTTACAAAAGTCAATACATATAACACCTGAGTCCTCAGGAATGGCAACGCATGGGGGGTATCATAGGCGAAACAGTATACTCTGTTATGTCCACCATACTGCTCATGTCTATAGGCGACGGTTACCACTTTCCATCAGGTGAACCGTCAGCTTGTTTGCCGTTGTAGAAAAGTGTGCAAGCTCATGTCCAACAGTGGACGTATAATGGCTGAAATAAATACATTTATATGTATTTATTATTAAAAAAAAATCAGTTAATTCAACTGATCGGTTATTTTATAGCATCTTACATGAAATTCTTAAAAAATTTTGATTGAAATCAGAATTCATTTTGAGAAATTGAAAAAAATAAAATAGACTTTAATTATGGCAAATTTTAATTATAAAACTAAACCACTGAATTGATTTTAATAAAATTTCTGTGATAGGACTAATCCTGTATATCCTTTCAGATAAAAAATATTTTTTTTCAAATCAGTTAACAACTGACGGAGTTATGAGGTGACAAACGTAAAAAAACACAACCGAATTGCGATTCATCTCCTTTTTGAAGTCGGTTAAAAAGAAATATTTTTTTAATTAATAGTAACAACTAATTGATATAAATTTATAAGACCTTTTTGTTTGTCTCATTATTTGAAATTAAAATGGCGTTCTTCTTTCAGAATTCGGGGAAACGAGTCTGCAGGATCTGGTAAGTTGTTTAGAAAAAATTTTAATATTATTTATGCCAATGGTTTCAAACTGGCAACATTTTTACCACGTGTCATAATTAATACATGAACAATTTTACATATTTCCCATAGATAAAAAAAAGAACTTGTATGTGGCGAACTAAAACATCAATTATGTTATTATCTATTATTATTAATACGTGAAACAAAAACTTTGTATCCCTTTTTTCGAAAATTGCGCGGACGGAGGAGTATGAAATTTGGCACACTTATAGTTTATATAGAGAAGGAGTGCGGAATATTTTTTTTTTAATTATGTTTGAAAAATAAATTAAATCAATAAAAAAAAACATTACACACACTACCATATATTTGACACACACACGCATGCATACTCTTTTGTTTACTGTTAAAGTCTGTGGTCGAATTGAGAATAGATTAATATTGTTTATCTGTTAACATTATTTGTCTATAGTCTTACTGAATGTCAAACGTAACCATAATAAATTCATTTATTACAATATTATGTTATGGTTGAATTTCCACCACTAGGCAACTACTAATATTTAAAAATATATGTTATACAATTTCTGAAAGTTTGAATTTTGATCGTAAACTAGTATTAAGTAACTTTTTCTGATACTTTTTTACGAATACTTTTTAAATCATTTTTTGTATGGTTTTAGTGTTTAACACGAGGGCTACACTGAAAAATTTTGGAACTGGCTACTTGAAAGCAATATAATAAAAAAAATGTTAACATTTTGAAAATGGAACTCGAATAATACAGAGTATATAATTTATTCGTATGTCATTAGTTTTACGGTTTGGCGGCAAATTGAAAATAGTCTGTGTAACGTTATCATGAACTTAACACGAGAAAATTTTCTTGCGATGATTTTTTACTACTTTCGATGTCATCTAAGTCAACAAGAAAGTTATGATAGACTACGATTGGCCTTTCACGATGAAGCCTCGTCTCGTGCCATTGTTTACAACTGGTTTAATGAGTTTAAACGTGGTCGTACTAGTCTCACCGATGATGTGCGTGAGGGACGGCCTTCTACGGCGACGACTGAAGATAACATCAGTGTTGTGCGGCGTATGATAGAGACTGACAAAAGAGTGACCTATCAGCAGATCCGGGCAAGCTTAGGGATTGGTATGAGTCAAGTGCACAAAATCCTCCATGAACATTTGGCGATCAGGAAGCTTTGTGCACGGTGGATACCTCATAATTTGACCGAAGCTCAAAAACTCTGTCGTGTTGATTGGTGCCGTGAAATGCATGAAAGATTTAACGGAGGTGACTCGAGAGACGAAAGCTATCAGCTTGTTTGCCATTCTAAGTAATATAAAAAAAAAAACATACAAAATTTGTAAAGATGTTTTTGGGCGTGCTCCCTCTAGATGCGGGTAAGAAACATCGACAATATGTCTCATAAAGCCATCGCGCCGTACTACGACAGACTTACAGCTCCCTCTGGTGTTCCACAACATAAATATTTGTAGCCAACACGACGCGACGGCAACAAGCAAAGCCTTTGACGCAATGTTTTGGGAGTCATTTTTATCAATCAGACATTTAAATACTACCATCGCTACTCGCATTTGTTTTTTTTTCACCATAGACTATAAAGTGTAATTAAAAAAATTTTATTTCATTAATCTGTCGTGATTAGTTTTTTTCTCACCATAGACTGTGTAATTTAGAAAGTTTGTTTTTTATTAATCTGTGATGTAAAAATATTGGCGGGAAATCGTTATTTCGTGGTTTTTTTTATTTTTTTTTAATGAGTGATAATGGAATGGTAAACCCACCCGCGCTACCGGTATACACCGGCGGGGCATCAGTGAGGGATGATCGATAAGGATGAAGTAGGTCAGTTAGCCCATCGTGACGAATTCAACAAGAATTGTTTACGATAGTTTCCAGGGGGAACCACGTGGAGGTCGACCTGATATTGCTAGCAATGTCGAACTCCATTGCTAACAATCCCTTTGCCCCCAAATTTATTTCGTACATACTAATACAGATTGATTGAATAAATGAATACACTTTATTTGCATTATACAATATAGGGAATAAGCGAGACAATTAATAAATATAACGATACAGTTGTATAAGTATAGTGAGGCGGTCTTATTGCTGAGAGCGATCTTTACAAGGCAATGGACTATATGTGGTACAAGTAGGTATGACAATATAGTAAGATTAAGCAATTTTAAAATAATTATGCTTTTTCTTTGCCAATTTTGAACTGATTTTAATGACTTTTTTGGTAATCGAAAGTTCATTCTACCGTCTCATTTCAATTTTCTGATTATTGAAACTGTCGTTTTTGTTTGCGGGGCAAAACAAAAAACTACTTGTCGCAAAACAAAGTCTATATGTAAATACACAATATTTACAATGCAACCTGCATTTGCGAAATGTCTCGTCGTTTACATACTGTTTGTATACTTACTAGGAATGGATAATATATAGCAATTTCCATATATTTTAGTTACAATATCTTTTTTTTATACAACTTAGAATGGCAAACAAGCTGACGGCCCACCTGATGGTAAGTGGTAACCGTCGCCTATACACATGAGCAGTACCATGGACATAACAGAGTTGACTGTTTCGCCCATGATTCCCCCCATGCGTTGCCATTCCTGAGGACTCAGGTGTTATTCCTCTGTACCCAGTAAATTCACGCCACATCCCACCCTTCAAACTGAAACACAGCCATGCAAACACAACTGCTTCACGGTTGAAACACGAATGGGATAGAGGTACTCAAGCAATCGACTTTTGTACAAAGTCTGCCTCTGGTAACGATGCTCTATCTATATAGTCTAAAGCATAAAGGAACAAAAGGCGGTCTTATCGCTAGGGCAATCTCTAACAGACAACCTTTGGTTAAAGGAGAACGGAGAGAAGTGGACCTATCATCCCTCACTGGTGCCCCGACAGCGTATACCGACAGCGCAGGCGGGGTTACCATTCCATTGTCATGCATTCCACTCTGTCTCACTAGATTTTAATTCACGATATAAACTCATTTACACATTTACCATATTAGTAACATTTATTGAGGATATTCGAATCGAGTTACCATGGTACGGGAATATCGCTAACCCTCACGCCAAAGGGATTACCGGATAGTGGGTAAACCGCGGGATGTGTACAGTCGGCCACATATATTTTACTGTTGATGTCGTGTCTTACGTTTACGGCGGGACGTATTGTAAATTCAATAATGGCGTATGTTATGCACCGTTACTGGTTTGTTTTTAACTAGCAGTCCGTCCCGGCTTTGTACGGCTTTTTTATACCACTGAGGTGACAAGCATACGGCCCACCTGATGGTAAATGGTTACTGTAGCTTATGGATATTTGCAACATTAGTGGTCTAAGGTGCGAGTTGCGGACCCTAATATAATATCTGTCTTAGGAGGGGGGGGGGGTGTTGTTAGTAAGGCGGAGGTTAGCCCCCATTGCTATTAATATACCATCATCATCATATCAGGTCGACCTCCACGCGGTTCCCCCTGGAAAGTATCGTGACTAATTTATCGTTGAATTCGTCACGATGGGCTAACTGACCTACCGCTTCATCCTCACCTATCACCTCTCACTGGTACCTCGCCAGTATATACCGATAGCGCAGGCGGAGTTGCCATGCCATTTTCATCTATTAAAAAAATATAATATCTGCCTATATATATATATATATATATATATATATATATATATATATATATATATATATATATATATATATATATATATATATATATATATACAAACATACACAATAATATGACAACATTTTCGAATGGGTTAATTTTTTTTTTCTATAAACTTTACCAATCGCTCCCAGCCCGTCGCCAACCGAACCCCAAATGAAAGTATTTTTTTTTATTCTCCCCGTCCTCGCATTGTGTCCGCCGTATTATATCTATCCACCCCACAAAGCTATTGTCTCCGTGATGTATTACTAAACGGCGTGCTTTATTTGAATGCTGCCACGGATATTTATTGGGTGTTTCTTGTATTTTATTTGGTGCTACCTTATTTTATGATGGAAGGACGAATTTACCTACCAGAGGGAGACTTTGTACAAAAGTCGATTGCTTGGGTACCTCTGTCCCATTCGTGTTTCAACCGTGAAGCAGTTGTGTTTGCATGGCTGTGTTTCGGTTTGAAGGGTGGGATATGGCGGGAATTTACTGGGTACAGAGGAATAACACCTGAGTCCTCAGGAATTGCAACGCATGGGTGGTATCATGGGCGAAACAGTATATTCTGTTATGTCCATGGTACTGCTCATGTCTATAGGCGACGGTTTCCACTTTCCATCAGGTGGGTCCGGCCTGCGCTATCGGTATACGCTGGCGGAGCACCAATGAGGGATGATAGGTGACGATGAAAAGGCAGGTCAGTTAGTCCATCGTGATGAATATACCTGGAGTTCAGCATGATTGTTTCCAGGAAGGAATACAGGGAGGTCGACATTGATAGGGTATATTGCTAGCAATGAGACTGGTAGTCCGTTTTACTAATAATCCCTTCCCCCCGGACTCAAGTGTTATTCCTCTGTACCCTGTAAATCCCACCCTTCAAACCGAAACACAGCCATGCAAACACAACTGCTTCACGGTAGAAACACGAATGGGACAGAGGTACTCAAGCAGACGTCTGAAAAAAGTTTGTTTCTAATAAACAAATAAAGGACAGTATATTCCTTATTAAAAGGCCGGCAGCACACCTGCAATGCCGCTGGTGTTGCGGGTGATCACGGGCGGCGGTAGTCACTTACCATCAGGTGAGCCGCATGCTCGTTTGCCCCCTGTGTTGTAAAAAACACATGTTTATAACTAAATTTCCCGCGTAAAACCGCGCGGCGGCGTTAGTGTATCACGAAGTGCTGTAAATCAATTTTCCCATAGGCGATACTTATAAGATTCTACGCAAAAAGCCACTTAAACGAAGTTGGGTTTTTAAATTACATATTGCCAAACGGAATTG